ACACACACACACACACACACACACACACACACACACACACACTTTGATGAAATCAATATTTTCGTTCTTACAGTTCGCGTATTTCCATAAACTACCCGAGTTCCCATCTAACTGAACATGACGTTTCGTCTACCTTCAGAAACTACCCGAGTTTCCAGCTGACATGACGTTTCGTCTACCTTCAGAAACTACCAGAGTTTCCAGCTAACAGGACATGACGTTTGTTTTTCATATTTTCACTGTCCTCAGTCTTAAGTTTTCTGAGATTATTTTCTTTCAACTAACCAGAGATAAGAATCTAAAGGGTACATCGTAACGAACGACCTCCCTCACCCCACAAAACTAACAAACAAGCATCACCTCCCCAAAAAACAACACCCACACAAAACTAACAAACACGAAACGAAATACGATGAACTCCAGTAAAGGTAGTGAGAACCTTGAACATTTGTAATGTTAAACTGAACGTTATTTGTTTTACTTGCTATTTATAATGTAGTTTTCTTCTATTTCTTTTTATCGTGGGGGAGGGGAGGGGAGGTAGGTGCTATAGAACACGTCGAGGGCCGATAAGTGTTATTATTTTTTTACGTCGGAGTCAGCTAATTTTGTCAACCTACTAATACAAAGATGATGGACAACTATAGGTACTGAAAACGATGACAATACTGTAGTAATAACACATGAAACAGAGAATATTTAATCACGTAATAAAAAAACAAAGGAAATCTGAAGACCGTACTGATAAAAGAGAAAAGTTAACACAGAGGTCACCAAGAAAACACAAAGTTTTGTGTCTGTTCGTTTAAGTTACATTGATAACTAATGGTAGGAAAGATTATTTTAAAAAAACAGACAACAGTAGAAATGAAAGTTTTATATTAACACTAGCGAATAGCAGGTACTACCGCCCCCCACCCCCTAACCTCACATTTCATAGCTAACTGAAAGAAATAAATTTTGCGAGAAAAGTGCAGTCGAGGCAATCAAAACGTCAGTAAATTCCTATGTGAACCAATCAAAGTTAAGATCGTTCATGAAATGGATTCATGACGTATTAATTAGTTAGACTACCAGTGCGTTTTGGTAACACTAAGTTCAAGTAATATTGTGTTGCTTAGCAACGAAAGTATAACCATTTTATTGTTGTTAGTCTATGTACTAAAAGTATAGACAAACAAAATTGGAAAAAAATATTTGTTGATTTCTTAATTTAGAGTCTCTATTGAATAAAGAGGTTTGTTTTTATTTAAAACGTTGGCGATATAACAGTAAATAACTTAATTCAGAAACGATTTAAGTTTAAAATTGAATCGATATTCTTACATTCATGATAAACTATATGACTTGGCTCTAGACTAGGTTTACACTACGTCTTTACTTTAGGTTTATTATACTAACACTCGCTACACTTATAAGGTTTCACGGCACCTCCCCTCCTCACGGTCCCCTTGCAACCCCCGTCACTAAAATCGTAATGGACACACAGTAATCGAACTAGACTATCTAGATAATAAATGCATTTTGGTTTTTAAGACTCCTCTTGTTTCGAGAAATCAAGCGTGATGTTACGTGACACACACGATTTTTTTTTGTTTTTTTTTATATCGGTTAGATACATATATTGAGGTATTTGACTTCAATATTTATTTTCATGTGTTTTTGTTAAGTTTCTGGTTTAAATTACCATTAAAATAATAAGGTTATATTCGGCCGTTCAAAACGTAAATGACCTATAATGTTGTTTGGTTGAGGAATTTTTTATGTTCCGAAAAACTTTTGACGCGTGGTTTTCGACCCAGTTTTGCATTCAAGTTCTACACCAATGTTATGGAAGGTTTTCAGGATGTAAGTCGCTAAATAACTCTCCAAACAGTGATCTTAAACTTTCTACTTCACAGTACGAAGTTACGCGGCAAGTCAATGGTAAGTTCACGGACTTAAATCGCTAATAGTCGAGGTTCGATTCCACGTAGTGAAACTTTGTTATCAGAAAGGAACAATTTA